TGAGTAAGTACATAAGTAAGTAAGTAAGTAAGTAAGTAAGTAAGTAAGTAAGTAAGTAGTAGTAGTAGTAGTAGTAGTAGTAGTAGTAGTAGTAGTAGTAGTACTTCATGTCTAGTCACAACACGTGACAATATTTAACATCCAAGGCGAAATAGATGAACATCAAAGGAACTAGCACCGCCATTTTGGAAGAACGGAGCAAACCGTGTTTGTTCGGAGATTTTGACAGCGCACACGGAAAGGTGGGAGAAGGAGAGGTACGAGTAGATGATACAGAAGATGGAAGAACCCATTCTTTATCGAACCTTGAGCCGGAATTATAGAGTAAGACTAATCGTTGTGAATGATGTAATGACTTTTATTATATAATTATTACTAGTACCCAGAAATTCATTAGTATACAATATAGAGAACACCTATTCGAATAGAAGGGAAGTCACAGCACCCATAATTAAGCTTACGGTTAAGTATTAGAAACAAGGATATATGAAACTATTTAAGATATCAGAAATCATCCTGCTTTAAGTGTAATTATCATCTACAAATACATATATATATTGTGTCATATTCGGGGTTCCGTGAGTAATATTAATGGGTTCCGGACTGGATGATTGTATTTATTGATATATCTTTTCATAATGTTTCGTAATCATAATCAATTGCGACATCTCATAATCAGTGACTGCTTAAGACTCGCTTCTTTCTGCCTGACTGCGAATGTTTTCTACTGTAACTTTCTTTTTTCTTAATTGATAGTCGTGCGGGACTAAGTCCCTTGTACTGCGGTCACTTCTGGCCTATTGTACCAGCCCCAGATGATAGGTGAGGGTGATTGTGGAGCAATTGATGGTATGAAGATTGACACGGGAAACCGAAGTACTCGGAGAAAACCTGCCCCAGCTCCACTTTGCCCACCACAAATCCCACTTGACCAGACCCGGGATCGAAGCCGGGCCGCCGCGGTGGGAAGCCAGCGACTGACCGCCTGAGCTACGACGCGGGACCAGATGAGTACCTTGGTAGGCAGGTATATATCTTCTAAGCCTTCATGAAAATAGTTGAGTGTGGCATATAGGTGGCATTGTTACCTGTCACTAGAAAATGCTGCTGTAGCGTTAATTTTCCGGCCACAGGCCACATATGGACTGCTCTGTGACTGACCCAGTACTTCTGGGGTGAGAATACTGCAACTAATAAACTGAGCCATGGCACGAGGAAAGAACTTCCTTCAGGTCTCATTACGAGCTATTTGACTTGAGAAAAGAATTAATTTCCGACTGGCATTTTTGTTCAAATATCAGAAATTCTGGTACTGACTTGAATAACAAGTAACTGGTTATTTATGCAGTTTGTCTTCTGATTTTGTTTTGTGAAACTTGTAAAGCAGAAGACAAGCAAGAGTTCGTACTGAGCAAACCCTTTCCTTTGTCTACTTCAAAGTTCCAATTGCCAGCCAGCAGTGTGGGAATAACAATAAAACAGTTCCCGGAATGGGGGCAAGTTGAGATTGGAATGCAAGAAGAACACTTACAAGTCAAAAGCCTCATGAGATGGAGTATTTTTCCACTCATCTAACTTTACCCCTCTTCTTTTTCTTACAGCAACCAGTTTACATTGTATAACATTTAACAACTGTAACGCGAATAGCGCAGCTTCTCCGCTGCTCATCTGATCACTGTCTTCTTCTCTCTTACTTATTTCTTACTTAGTTCATTTATAACTCCCAGTTATTAAAAATGTTACGAACTTAAAATTCTTACAAGAACTTAAAACTTGGATGACTGTAATGTTTCAAAATCCATATAGACTTCATTCAACTTGAAATTTCTAAAAAGAATCAATTCGTAAAAGCTTTGAATAAAATTAGAACACTTGTACTTCCTGTAACAAATTCACCATGGGAAATGATCAAATAACAAAGAAGAAATTTGTTCAGAATTTTCGAAGTTAAACACTTTACTCTGATATAGTACGACGCAAGACTAGTTCATGAAAGCTGTATTGAGTTTTATAGAGCGCAACAGACCTCCCAGTTACGTATCAGAATCACGTAGTTCATTATTCACGCTACTGCACAATTTTCGAATAAGTTCAAAACACGCACGCAATGGCGGTATTTACAAATTCATTCACGCCGACCAGCCATTCTGGTAGTGCGGTGGTGCGGTTTCATACAAACTGACTCCATCTCCTTACACTTTGCAGCTTCTTGAATATTTGGGCCTTACAATGAATAACAAAGCAAATGTTGAAATTTGATTCGTTAACCAACGAATCGCTAATCGACTGAGTATCATGGAACCAATTAACGTCGATTAATGGGGATTACCGCAATCGTCCATGTTTTCAAAAGCTTTTATTTTTTGAAATTGATGAAAACTGAGGAGGGGAAGATTTCGAATGACGCATTATGTAAGACAAATTATTCGTGACTTGATGACCGTACTTACAGCCCCACACACACACATCACTCAGCTGTAGGCGTATTGCCATCTACTTGCGGAAGGCAGCCGCTCAGTCGAAGAGTTAATTGCGAAAATTATTCCCAGGCGCGTTCCTCCAAAGAGCAATCCTATGTAAGGACCACATATGGGACACAGTTCTCATAAACCCTCCACATGCATGTAGTTTTCTCATATTCATTCCTTCAGACATCCAGAAGTTATTCGTCCTAGTCTGTGTCCAGCCGCTGGTTTTGTCTGTTCTCAATCTGTACAGGAGGTGCAGCCAGGATTCTTTCGAAGTTCTGTTTCAAACATTTTATTTTCCTTAGTTTTCTGTATTTCATTCATAATCGCGTAACACAGCAAATTTCGCAGAAATCTCCTTGCTTCCAGTTTTCCCTTGCCCGCTTTGCCAGTACCCAGGTCTCAGCACCATGTTCCAAAGTTGCTTTTGCTGTGATATTGTTGTGTCCCGGGGGAACAGTGGGGACCGCAGGTAGATAGTTCCCGAGTGGCGCGGAGATGGACGAGCACACAGAGTGGAAAATTCGCAAGCCTAGTCGAGAGACCGAAGATTTTGGCAGTTTACTGCGGTACTGTCCCCGTACTGTATGGTACAATCACAGATGTCTGAAGGTAAGTGGTACGTTGTGGCCTTGACGTGCTAGAGACCAGTGGAGATTGTCTTCCATAATGACATTTAGATATATGCCTTGATTACATCTTACGAAATGAATCCCAGAAAATATTTGGGCCAAAGAGCAAACAAGTTAATGGAGAATCAAAAAAATCCATAAAGTAGAGCATCATAAATTGTACCCCTTCCTAAACAGGCCTATTATTACGGCGAGCCAGGCGAAGGCCGGGAAATACAGCACGCATGGGAAAGATGTAATGCATACAGAATTGTTGTTAGGAGGTTTGAAGGGAAAATACGTCTTGGGAGACCTAGTCTTATCTAAGTGGGAGAGTAATGTGTCCTTCAAAAGTAGGGCGCGAAGGTGAGGGCTCCATACATTTAGTTCTTGTTGGAATATATTATCGCGCTTTTGTGGGAGCAGCAATATGACTTTTGTGTTCCATAAATGGCCCGGAAATTGTTGGCGACTGAGCGACCATTAGTTTCGCGGCAACATCTCTGATACATGGACCTGGAAACAAATTATTACTAATATAACCGAAATAGATGCCATGTTGTCACTTTATGCTTATGACTAAAATAACTGTAACAAAATTAACCTTAAAGACAAATGCATATTGAGAGAAAAATACAACATTTTTTAAGAAAAGAAAAAGGCCAATGATGTTTAGACATATGCAGGTTTACTGGCAGCAGATTTAAGAAGGAGCGCATGCGCGTCATTGAGCCACCCTGTGCGGAGGACAGAGGATGTACGAAGAGCCTCCTCAGGTTGTATTTTCATGATTTGAATAATATTGGTTAGTAGCAAATATAACAAAAAAAATAATTACAATTTTAATTATATAAATATATAATAATAATAATAATAATTCAATTCAGTTCTTTATTATTAGTGTGCCGAGTCAACAGCCGCAAGGCCAATTACCGACACAGCACAGTGCAGAAGAATGAAT